TCTCTCTCTCTCTCTCTCTCTCTCTCTCTCTCTCTCTCTCTCCAAGCATCATCCCTTTCCCAATGTCATTATTTCCCCCACAGAAGCCCTTCCACACAAACAAACTATAAATACACCCTCAAAGCCTTTGTTTCATTTCATGCTTTCTAGCTGCTCCCCAGAAATTAGTTTTTACTTGGGCAGAGAAGAAGCTGTGAGCTTGTTCTCTGATCCCCCCCCCCAAAATAATCCTCCCGAATTGCTCCCTTTATTGCACGGAACTAATGGGGCTGGAACAGACCCAGGGCTTTAGGCGGATGACTCAGAAGTTCAAGCTGATCTGGAATATATTGCTTTTTCCTCTCAATTTCAGCTTGAACCAGAAACTGCAACTGGAACAGGAGAGGCTGAGCTCTGATTATAACAAGCTGAAAATAGAGGACCAGGAGAGAGAAGTGAAACTGGAGAAGCTCCTGTGAGTGCCTCAGCATCCCCACTTTTCATCCCTGGGAGGGCCTAAGAAATGGCCTTTGTGCCGAAGGCCCAATTTGTTTAAAGCAGCATAGGCTTTGTCTGTTCTTTGGTTAGCCTTGTTTATTTGCCTCAGGTGCAAACTGCATCTGCACCATTCTGGTTCTCCCTGGGTGACTCATGGTTCCTTTCTGACTCTCAGGTTGCTCAATGATAAAAGGGACCAAGCCAGGGAGGACCTCAAGGGGCTGGAGGAGACTGTGGTGAGTCAGTGCCCAATTAGTTCACCCCCAGAGGCCTGATTTGTTTGTGATCTACTGAATTATTTATTCTAAAATTTTATCTACGTGCCCCTTTCCTGTATAGCATTTAGACACAAAGAATTCTGTGACAAACTGGCATTTGTAGAATTACTTTTAAGAGAATTAATCCATCAAGTGATTAGTTGGTCATTAGTGTTGTAACCCTGAAATACTTGAATGAGAACTGAACTCCATTGTAAACCACCTCTGCACTTTGGGACACCACTCAACTTTCAGCAGATATATAGCAAGTACCTACGGAGGCTGGCACTTGTCTAGATACTTGGCTATATAAGTGTACAGTGTAGGGAAGTCTTGTCTCTATAAGCTGACCTTGACGAAGGGAGCTGAGGGGAAGGACATTCTGGAAGCAATAACTTGTGGCATGTGGAGGTGACAGCGATGCCAGTGTGTGTCTGGGTGAAAGAAAGTAGAAGACAGGCACAGAGGACAGTGCTGGAGCAGGTGCCTTGGAGGAGGGCCAGACAGAGGAGGAATAGACACCACTTGCCTCTGGGAGGGCTCTGTATCTGAAATTGCTATTGGGTTCCTCTGTGCTGTGCCCACAGCCATTGGCTTCCTCTGCCAGCTTTGGTTTCAGGGGCCACTCAGGATAGCAGCTTGGTCACACTTCACAGCTGTGGCTTATCACATCCATTCTAACATCAGCACAGTTGGGTGAAAATGTGTTTAGGCTTGCACATGTTTAAATTCAGTGCCAGCATCTGAGCCCACTCATGTGTCATGTGAGTTTATGTGGGACAGAGCCCATCCCCACCAACCCAGAGACTCGGACTGTAGGCATATGGCTAGTCCCATCTGGAACCGAGGCTGCACGCTGACTCCTGGGCCAGGACAAACTGCTCCTCAGAGGAATGAGGACACAAGCCTTGGGGACTGAGGTCACATGCCTGTGCTGACAGGAAGTTGGGCCTTTCAAAGGTGAAGTCTATAGGGAAAGCAGCCACAAAGCCAAGCAGTTGCTTCATGTGCATCATGTCATGCAGTCCGTAACTGGGTGTACTTAGAGCATTGCAGGAGAAGCTTGAACATTGAAATTCTACTCCATTCCTGCCAGCAAGGTTGTGTGCAACTTGGGGATGCTCTCTACTTGTTCCTCCGTGGGTCCCCTCTACCTGTGTGCCCTCGTTTGCCTTCTGTGCCTCTGCCATCCTCACACACAGCCTGCACACGCATTTGCACATACAGATTGTGGGCGTACCACACACTCCACTTTCATGATGTCCTCTGGGCTTGCTTGGCTGCACGCCCTGATTGTCCCTATAACGCTCATGTATATTCCCGTACACTCACACACATCTGCAACTCACTAATGGTTTTTCTCATCCTAACATAGTTTGCTCGCTTACACAAGTTGTGACATACTTTAAACTCACGCTTGCTTGCCTTTTCTCATGCTTCCTCTCAACACCTACAGACCAGCATGCACAGATGCTCAGTAAACTCGGATGTATCCACACGACGTCACAGTCACAGCTCACACTCATGCTGACTCATGCAAGTCACTCTCACGCCCCCCCCCCACACATCCCTCTCATTCCCCAACTCACATCCAGACTTATTTGCACACTCGCATGCTTTCTTGTTCCTCTGCCTGTGAACATGATAAAGGACTAGTAGCCAGCTCCTTTGCCTTTTTGGGTGCTTGGATATGTATTAAATGGCATGTTTTCTCAGTAGCCTCCATTATCTTCTCAATTATTCTCTCTCCTTCCCTCCCACAGCTCATCTCCTTAGTAATCTGGCTGCGCCTACACACACACACACTCTCAAAGGCTGCCCTCTACTTACACACACATCCTTCTGTCCCCCACACAAGGGCAGACCCAGTAACATGGTGGTTCCTTTTCCTCTTCCCCTCACCATTCCCACGCCCCCTTCCTTAAATCCAGGACTAGATTCCTACAGCGCTGCTGTTTTAGACTCAAATGTTTGTCCTCCGCTTTGGATTCTTCCCAAGCTGAGCTGTAAATAGGCTTCAAAGACAGGTCTTGGTGTCCTTGGCTGTCATTTGGTTCTCAAGACACCCCCCACCCTGCCCCGCACAAGTCTGCCCTGCCGCCTGAATGTTGTGGGGAGGGGTAGGTGCTGTCTGCAGATTACACTCTGGGAATCTCACTGCAGACTGGCTATGCATGAGGCTCTTTGGCTCAAGGCAGTACACTGACCACTCCCTCTCCATCTCACTTCATGCAATACTGACCACCTCTCTAGTTCTGGCCTCACCATCCACCACGATAGGAAGCTTAGCCTCAAGCTCTTATATGGAGTGTGGAAGCCTGTGATGGGAAGAGACCTGAGGGAAGCTGGAGGGTGGAGGAATAATTATGAATGTGATGGAGGAAAGAGCATTGGGGCAAGAAGCCAAGTGACAGCTGCCAAAGCAGCATTGTACATCAGTGTAGCGGTGTAAACCACCTTAAATGCCTTTGGTGGCCCCTGCAAAACTGTTAGAAATGAAAGGGGCCAGCTCAGAACTCTTAGGTGGTATTTATATCCCAAGGAAAGGCCTGGCTTTTGGGCAGGGTGTCAAACCTTGCCTCCCTTTTGTGTGGTGGTGTTTTTCACCAGAAAATGTTAACTGTGATCACATGATCACAGTGTAAGCAGAAAAAGAAACCTGGAACATAGGGTGGGCATGCAGGACATTTGTAAACATTAAGGGATTCTGGGACTGAGCTCCTTCTGCAGGGGTGGAGGGCAGCCTGGATCATGGTGAGCAATGCACTGCACTCCTTTTCCTATGTTGTGGGGCGGCTCACTTGCAGATGGTACTGTGCACACATTATTTATAATACTAGACCTGTTTGGCTTCCTGCAGAAAGCAATTTACCTCATCCAAGGATGCAATTGACTTCAGGTGCTCCTTATTTCAACACAAAATTGGACCTAATAATAAGGCCTTAAATTAACAGAATTGTATTTCAAGAAACTGTGTTTCCTTAACTCTGGGTCTTGTTCCTACATTTTTAATTTGAGCATTCATCCCCTGACATCCTATCCATTTATATAGATAAAAACTTTTAAAAGATTCTCTGTCTACTTCTCACTTATAAAGAAATAATTTACATGAAACTAGCATCTCTTGTAGAAAACACATGAAGAACCGGGCTGGAAAGATGACTCAGTAGTTAAGAGCACTTACTACTTTTGTAGAGGACCTGAGTTCAGTTCTCATGTAAGGCAGCTCATAACCACCTATAATCTCTGCCCCAGAGGATTCAATGCCTTCTTCTCAAACCTTCCAGCACTTTGTTCATATACATATGTGCATGTGCTCGTGTGGATTATTTTCTATGAACACCTAAGAATATAAGTGATGAGACAAGGGCCTGAACCAAACCTGGTAGTCTTTCATAACAAAACCAGAAAATCAAAACAGTTGCTTCTATTCAAGTCTTAGTCTACATATGCATGTACATGTGCGCACGCACACACACACACACACACACACACACACACACACACACACCCCTTGAAGAGGATAGATGAGGTGCACAATATTAATCTGAGCATGTGAGAGACAGAGACAGTGGAATCTATGAGTTTGAGGCCATCCTGGTCTAATTGATGAATTCAAGGCCAACCAGAGCTACAGAAATTAAGACCCTTTCTAATATATATGATATATATTACATATATATCGTGTGTGTGTGTGTGTGTGTGTGTGTGTGATATTCTTATATTCATAGAAAATAATCCAAACTGAAAAAGGAAATTGCCAGCTCTTGGGCTATGAACTCATTGTGGTCCAGAAACCTTCCTAAAGGCTTTCTAGATCTTCTTGTTTAGTCTTGATGAGAGTGAGTCAAATTATCTTCATCTTCATATTAAAAATGATAAAACACATAAGAAGTTCAGGTGTTGGCCCAGGGTCACCAGATGGAGAGTCTGAGAACTGCCTCATCTATGAGCTGCTGATATGAGGAAAACATACTGTGGATTGGGCCAGTAGTGGGCACAGAATCATGGAAAATGCCAGTAGTGGGCACAGAATCATGGATAATGCCAGTAGTGGGCACAGAATCATGGAAAATGCCAGTAGTGGGCACAGAATCATGGATAATGCCAGTAGTGGGCACAGAATCATGGAAAATGCCAGTAGTGGGCACAGAATCATGGAAAATGCCAGTAGTGGGCACAGAATCATGGGAATTGCCTGTAGTAGGTGCAGAATCATGGGAAGTGACAGCCAGTTTGAGTGAGAGTAGTCATGGTTACCCTTTAATTTAGCTTGTTGGTATGACATGTTATATTTATGTGGGAAGTAAAGCAGACCCCCCCACCCCCCATTCTGGCAGGAAGTTTTGTTTGGCTCCCTTGAGAGCAGAGGAGAGGAGCTGGCTTACAGGCAGTAGTTGGAGTCCCCAGGATCCTGCACCATGATTGTGCTCCTGATAGCAGTGTAAGTTGAAGAATAGGCAAGACACAGGCAATACCATGACACTAACAATGTCAATGGCAGCTCCTGCAACACAGTGGTGATGTCAGGGGAGTTAAGGACCTGTAGAGCAAGTGCAATGCCAGTTCAGTCCATCACCTCACTGATGCTGCATGTGAAATATCTCCTCCAGTCTAGAGAACTCCAGACCCTTCATAACCTGCGCAAACTCTTCGTCCAGGATTTGACCACCCGGGTGAAAAAGGTGAGTTCTGTCATTTCTGAACAGGTTGAGGAAAAAAATTGACCATGAGGTGTCATCTCCAGTTGAAATTCACTTGCTCAAATTAAGGCTGGTTATGCTAATAAATTAATTACCTCATGCCAGAGAATATTATTAAAAGAATGTGCTGGGGGCTGAAATTACTTGGGAATATTTTACCATCTGATTTTCCTTCTTTGTAAAAGGAAGTTATTATGCTGTCCCTGGCTGGCCTTTATTTAAAATGACATATATCTGTCTGTCCCCTGCTGTGTGGAGGTCACTGTTTTGGGTCAGAAAAGTCTGGAACATTGTTGTCAGAAGATGACAGCATGGTCTTCTAGTCTACAGAAGTGAGATGGCCAGAGCCTCATGTTTGTCTAGGCAGTTAGTGAGGTGCATTAGTATTGTACCTGTTTATCCCAGCATCTGTACAGTGGGGTTCCTGCATGCTCTGGATTGCAGGTGCGAATCTAGGCTTGGATGTGATTGAAGACGGAAAGAGTCAGATGTAATTCTGCAAGCTCTCAAAAGCCTGGTGATCTTAGGGAGTCTCCATGTTGGTGACTCAATAGGTCAGCTCAGAAATTAAAGAAGACATGAAATCAGGGTGTAATGGACAAGGGGCAGGGGCTCATGGAAGGGGCATGAGAAGATCGAAGAAAGGAATTATGAGAAGCATGTGCAAATGTTTAGTAAAGGTGTATGCATGTTCGAGTGTGCGTACATGTTTATGTACTCGTACACATGGGTATGCTTGAAGACGCAAAGGAGGAAAAGCCAAACACAGTGAAAAGGGAGCAGCTGCTAGAAGCAGGTCTGAGGACAGAATTTACAGCACAAATGGATATGCTACTTTGTAAAGAGAAGGCACTGAGTTTTCCAGAGGTCAGAGAGAGTCAAGCTGGAACATTTGCAGGAAGCCCCTGGACAGCGAAAGAGGCTATATCTGATGGCTGGTGTCCTCAGTGGAGGAGGGAAGAGAATGAAGAGCTGGGCGGGGCGGGGTCGGGGGGCAGGTGAGAGAAGATTCAGCTAGATGTGGATGGAATCAACCAGGGATGAGTAAGTGGGTTGCTGGGCAGTGGTGTGTGTGCCCGACAGAAAACAGTTGGCATGCACCTGTGGCAGCCTGGCTTTACAAGTTGGAATCTTGGTAATGCAAATATTGGAGGCAGAGAATCATGAGAAATTTTCAAAGCCCGAAATGGCAGTGGTCAGTCCACTGTATGATGACCACAGTTTTCAAAACGCATGTTAACTTGGGGGCTGCACCAGATAGGAGAATGAGGTCAATGTAGATGTGATGGACAGACTGGACAGAAAGGACACCTGAAGAAGACCTCTGTCCCTGGGGGGGAGTGGGGTGCTAGTCAGAGAAAGGGTTAAGAGGAGGACACCAGAATCCCCGGTTTCATTGTATAAAACTTCCTAAGGATGACCTGTTTTTAGACTTTCAGCCTGTGAGCCTCTGGCAGCTACATTGACATCACCTGGGAATTTTTTAAAATGCATAATACACCCCCAGATCTGAGGAATCCGAGATGGGAATGGGCTCAGCAATCTGAGTTTTAATAAATGTCCCGGGGGTCTTGGTGTATATTCCTGTTTGAGAGCATGTGTTTTGGCCTGAATTGATGATGGAAACCATTACCCTTCTGGAGAAGGATTGTTTCTTCCATTGTTGCACCAGACAGACATGTTTTGCTATTTTTGAACTTAGGTTGTGTTTGCACATGTATTTTAATTTATCTGTGCCACCTTGCTTGTCAAGAGTGTGGTGTTGTTGCCAATTTCAAGATCTGATAAATCTGAAGGATTTTCCCAGCACCTGGGTGCTATGACAGGACTGAGACTGACTCACGGATGAATCGCATAGCATTGGGTGTTTAAGAGACAAGCAGAAGCCATTAGGATTTCCCAGTGGCAACGACAACTCTGGCTGACAGGTGTGGCAATTTCTTGTCTGGTCCTGATGGCTAAGCTAAACTTGAGTCTTAATTTCACACTGGTTCTTCTCAATGAGTTGTGAGCTCATTCTTTTTGAAAAGAAAAATCTCTTTACCTGCATTTCATTAAAGAGAAATGTGTGCAGTTCACAAAAGCAGATCTGACGGTATTCTTAGTCCAGCACTCCAACAAGCCAAGGAAATTTGTCGGGAAGACCAGGGAGTGGAAACTTTTACAGCTTCTCTTTATTTTCACTTTCAGACTGTCTTTTATTGGGATTGGGGATTTTTCCTTTTCAAGAGCTTTAATCTTGAACACTGGGTAGGTGAGTGGGGTGACGGGTCGTGCCACTAACTGTCATGTGTGGATACAGAGTGTGGAGTTGGACAGCGATGATGCAGGGGGTAGCGCCGCCCAGAAGCAGAAGATCTCCTTCCTGGAGAATAACCTGGAGCAGCTTACCAAGGTGCACAAGCAGGTGGGTGAGCTCACTGTATCCCAGCCCCAACCCCTGCTGTTCCCTAGGCTAAGCCTTGGTTGTTTGGCTGCACCATAGAACGGTTCTGGTATTGGATGTCTGTGCATGGTCAGAGAACATGGGTGCTGGAAGGAATGCAAGTCCTACAAAATCTCTGACTCTTGGTCAGGAATGGTGGCATGTACCTGTATTCCTGGCTACCAATTAGGTGGGAGGATCACTTAAGTTTTTGTTTTTTGTTGTTGTTTTTTAAAGATTTATTTATTTATTATGTATACAATGTTCTGCCTGCTTTTATGCCAGTACACCTGAAGAGGGCACCAGCTCATTATAGATGGCTGTGAGCCACCATGTGGTTTCTGGGAATTGAACTCTGACCACTGGAAGGGCAGCCAGTGCTCTTCACCTTTGAGCCATCTCTCCATCCCAGCCCTCCCCCCTTAAGTTTTTAATATCAGCCTGGGCACCATTGTAAGACCCTGTCTCAAAGTGACAACAAGATGGTAGGTAGGTCTAGGAGGAGCTAGGGTAAGGAAGGAAAGCATGGATTCCATTCAAATACATTGTAAAAATTCTGAAAGAATTAATAAACCAAACAGAAAAAAAAAAAGCCCATGCCTTTGGCCTTCAGTGACTTCCTTTATATATGGAAAACTTCCTTTGGCGAATAAGATGGCTTCTTACATAGCTGTGTGTTGCCATGCTTGATGAGTCCAGTTCCCAGAACCCATACTGTAGAGGGAGAAAACTCACTTCCATAAGATGTCCTCTGACCTCTGCACGTGTACCATAGAACACAAGTGCCTGCACACATACAAAACAAGACCACACACACACACACACACACACACACACACACACACACACAGGAATGAGACTTTCTTTGATGGGATCCAGTTATATGCAATCTGTTTATAGAGAATGAAAGGGGAACTCTCTGGTGCTTGGAGTGAGTAAAGTGTTGAGCCTTGTGTTTCCATCCTGCTTTCATTCCACTCTTGGATATTGACTGGCCATGTGCTCTCCCATGATGTCTCTGAGGCACCTCTGTAGAACAAAAGTCTCCACTGAGTGCATGTGCTGAGCGAGCTGGTTCAGGTCCCTTATTTTACTGCCAAGGAGACATTACTTTGCCCCACAGATGGTATGGACGTTTGAATGGGAATGGCTCCTGTAGGCTCATATATTTGAATCCCTAGTCCCTTGAGAGGGGCACTATTTGAAAGGATTAGAAGGATTAGAGGTGTGACCTTGTTGGTGAAGGTGTGGCTTTGTTGAAGGAAATGTGTCACTAGAGGTGGGCTTTGAGCTTTCAAAATCCCATTCCAGGCCCAGGCTTTCTTTTTGCCGCCTGTGGATCAGGATGTAGAACTCTCAGATACTTCTCTATCACCATGTCTGCCTGTATGTTATCATGCCCTCAACAGTGATGATAATGGACTAGCATCTGAAGCTTTAAGAAAGCCCCAGTTAAACACTGTCTTTTTTAAGAGTTGCACTGGTCCTGGTGGCTCTTCACAGGAATAGAATAGTGACTAAGACAGGTGGGAACCAGCAACTTGAGCTCTGTTGTTCTCATCCTGTCTTGGCCATCTTGGGTGTCCCTTAGGATCATTGCCCTGACATCTGTCCAGAGTGACAGAGAGGAATAAGCATGCCCAGTATACCAATAACCTAGGCAGGCCATTTGCCTCCCTTCCTTTCTGTAAATGCCAGCATGTCTGTGACTCTTTCTCTCTTAGGGTATGGTATGGGGTACATATGGTCTAACTCTTTGGGCCAGATGACTAAGGGCATGCCACTTCTCTTTGATTTGTGAGGTTTGTTTCCGTAGAGCTGTTGATGACATTTCCCCAGAGAGAGGATGGGAGATCAACATAGTGAAATCATTCAAGCAAATTGATAATGAGAAATACAGAAGCAAAGACTGCCAGGCATCTTGAGATCTGGCTGTGCAACTCATTATTTTATTCATGAATTCAAGGAATATTTATTAAAAGCCAAGTCTGCCAGGCATGGAGCTGCTGCTGGCATAAGCAAAATAGGTCAGAGCAGCAGCAGCTTGCTCTGATGCCTTTTCTCATTTTTGATCCTTTCTCTGATCCATCTGGATTCCAGCAATTGTAACTGGAGATTAAAGTGCAGAACCCTGGGCTCTGCCAGTGCCATCAAGCTAGGTTGGGCGGGTCCCATGCAAGACGATCTGCAGTACTGCAGCCTGTCCTTTATCGTGACTGTCCTCATCTTGGGGTGGTATGTCCTGCAAACTTGCCTGCTACTTGGGGATAATGTCAGTCCCTTGCCACAAAGGTATTTATGGATTGGTCCTGCTGTTCTTGGAACCTAAGGTAATTCAAGAGAAAAAGAAAGGACAATGACTTCTCTGTGGGCCTTCAACCTTGAAGGGGGATGAGAGGTTGGGTAGGGGTTCGGTGTGTGTGTGGGGCGTCCAGCAGGGATCTGATCCAAAGAGAAGAGACAGAAATAAAATCATGGCAGACACTCATCCTGCTTTTTCAGTGCCCTGTGGACCTGTAGAACTTTCTTTTCTCCTTCTTCTGACTAAATACCGACAAGATTCGACTTTAGGGCAAACAGATGTGTTCTACATCATGGTTTGAAAGTACAATCCATCATAGCAAGAGATGCATGGAGGCAGGATTGGTTAACAGTTGTGGGGGATTACTTGAGTTTTTAGGGCGTAAGCCCAGACGTCTGGAGTCCTAACTCAGCCAGTGTCATCAGTAATACCAACTAAAATGATGAGCCACAGTGAAAAGCAGAGAAATATTTAACCAGTGTGGTCACATTGGGAAGAGGGCAAACAAGGAGGTCCAATGAGCCTCCCCTGCCCATTCATCTATACTTACATGAGGTTTAGGTTTAATCAAGGGCAAGAGAGATGTATAACTAAGCCGCCGTAATCAAGGTGCAGCCCTGCCCATCGTCACATTATTGTCTTTTGTCTCTCTTTCTGGTATGTCTTACAAATTGTTCAAACCATATGAAATCTTTTCCTGAGGAACAAGATCCTCCTCTGGCTGACATCAAGACTTCAGCCTTTCTACTTTGCCAGCATGAAATTTCTGGGGAACTTTCAATTCCTTGGGGATCATTGTCTCAATAGTCTGGTAACCAATGAAAGGGACACAAGTATCTCTCTGTAGAAGGTCTTCCCTCCTGCCAGGTTGGCTACAGTGGAAGGAATCTTCTCACAAATCAGGCAGATCAAGAGACAGAAAGTCAAATGCTGGGGTTCATCAGGCCCTCTCTCTTTTTAAAATTTTTTTCCTCACTCCAGCCCCTTAGAGGGGGATGATGCCCACCAGTCAGGGTGGAACTTCCCACCTTAGTTAAATTTCTGGAAATTATCAAAGCTATTCCTGGAGCTGTGATCATAAAGACAGTCAAGTTGACAATTACGCACCATCAGTCCACTCCCTGTCAACCGAACACCCAAAAAGATCAATTTTATTTTATTTTTAATTTATTTTTATATTTTATGTGTGTGTGTGTGAGTGTTTGGCTTGTATGTATGCCTGTGCACTATGTACATGCCTGGTGCCCAAAGAGGCCAGAAGAGGATGCCAGATTCCCTGAAACTGGAGTTCCAGTCAGTTGTGAGCCACTGTGGATGTTGGGAATCAAACCTGGTTTTCTGCAAGAACAAGTCTTCTTAACCACTGAGCTATCTCTCTCCAGCCCCTTGATCATATTTAAACCAAAACATTATACCTTGGTCCTTAAAGATTCATAGCAATCAGCTAGGTAGGCGTGGTGGCACACACCTTTAGTCTCACTCACAGGTGGAGCTCTGTGAGTTCCAGGCCAGCCCCATCTACAAAGCAAGTTCCAGGACAGCCAGGACTGTTACACAGAGAAACCCTGTCTCAAAAAGCAAAACATATTAAAAAACCAAAAAGATTCATAGCCATCTTTTTTTAATTTATTTTTTATTTTGTATGCACTGGTGTTTTGCCTGCATGTATGTCTGAGTGAGGGTCTCAGAATTTGGAGTTACAGACAGTTGTGAGCTGCCATGTGGGTGCTGAAAATTGATCCCAGGTCCTTTGGAAGAGCACTCTTAACCACTGAGACGTCTCTCTAGCCCTATTTCATAGCCATCTTATGATGCAAAATGCATTTAGTTCATCTCCAGGAGTCCTTAAGTCTTACCAACATTAACATTTTTTTCAAAGCCCAAGTTCAGAGTCTGCTCTGAGACTAAAGGTAACATTTTAACTGTAAGTACCTGCATGGGGAAAAACAAAACATTTCCAAAAGGAAGGAACAAGGGAATAGCATAAAAAGATTGGACCAAACCAACTTAGAAATGAACCAGAGCAAACACCAATCCCTGCAGCTCCATACCTAACATCTTGACTTGTGATAGCATCATCTATGCTCTAGTGAGCTTCATAGCCCCATGCCTCAGGTTCTGTTGCCATGGCTACCTGTGGCCTCTCTCTTGGGCTGGCTCTACTCGGTACCTGCACATTTGTAGATTTCCACATCCTGGTGTCCTCGTTGCAGCTTGGGCCGTACACTCACTCTTAAGTTCTCTTTAGTGGCCTTTTGGAACACTGGTGTAAGCTTCTATGACAGGTGCCTTCAATTTTAGTATCATGTGAATGGTACAAGTTCTGCTATTCACTCAAAATGTAGTATTGCCCCACTTGGACCACAGCTGTAGTAATCTTTGTGTGTCTTCCAGGCTGAACCTGAGAAAACACTTCCTGGGTGGCCCTATGTGAGCAGTATGCCCTAGAAGCTGTCTTAATTCAAGTACTCTCTTTTCAAAGGAAAGATTTTCAAACCTCTTTGTATTGTTAGGCTTGATCTCATTGGTGGGGTGAGGATCTGTCCTAAAGGCAACTTTTCTACTGTCCCATTTGTAATAATCTTTGAAGTTTCTCCTTAATGGCTTTAGCAATTTAATTTCTTTTAACAGTTATAATCATCCTGTCCATATTGACTTTAAGCTCACTCAGGTGCCTTTCCTTGTCAAATTTCATAGTTTCATACCTTTCTGCTCCTTTTTACCACAAACCTAAGAACAATAAGCAATAGCCATGCCACAGCCTGAATATTATACTACTATGAAATTTCTGTCTCAAATTCACTAGTCCATCACTTTTGAATTTAGCTCTGCTCAAATTTTCAGGGAAGAGATAGAATACAACTAGATTTTTTTTTTCTTTTTGCCAGAATATAACATGAATGGTCTTTAGGTAGGTTCACAACAGAGTCCTTATCACTACTGGGCCACTTCAGGAGCCCAGCCTTCACTGTCCTCCTTTTTGTAGGCACTCTCCAGACTCCCACCAGAATAGTCCACGACGCCCTGCCCATGGCACTGGAGGGGCCCCCAAACCTGCAGTTCTACTGCAGGGATCTTCCACATTCCCCCCTGGTAAACTGTCCCAAAGCCTGAGAAGAGCAGGCTTCTTACAGTGGTGCCTTCCCATGCTGGGTCCACTTTTCTGTATTTGTTATTGTTTTCATTTCTGTGGCCAAATACCTGACAAGAAGCAGGTCAAGTGAGGAAGGTTTTATTCTATGGATTGAGGGTACAGTCTCTTAGCACAGGAAAAGCGTGATGGTAGAATTGACTTGTAGCTGGGCTAGCAGGAGTTTGCTCACATTTGGGCATTTCAGGAAGCAGAAATGATGAAGACTTCTGCTCATCAGGCTTTCTCCTTCTCCCTTTTCCTCTAACTCGGGACTCCAGCCTATGGGATGGCTCAAACCACACTCTTGATAGGTCTTCCCCCGTGAAACCTCTCTGAGGACATTGCCAGAGAGGTTTGTGATTCTCACCTTGTATGTGATTCTAAATTGGGTCATGTTGACAGTGATGGTTAACCTACCACAGAGCTCAAGTGAAGAGTCAATGCATTTTAGTGGATACAGTTTCTAAGTGATTATCTCACTGTGACCTTTCTGTTTTGTCTGTGCAGCCCCCAAAACTTGGAGTGGCTCAGCTCCTTATAGCAAGTCAGATGGCAGGAAATGGTAGCACTAGCATTGGTACCTACCATCCACCTAGGGTCAGCCTGTTACTTCTTAATTATGAGTCCTAGCTAAAAAGGAGCAAATAGAAGCTCCCCACCCCCACTCCCAGCCCATCTCCTTTGAGCATCTAGATATGTTGCAGGGCTGGGTTTCAACCTGTGCGGATACAGACAGGAAGGTCTTCAGAGAACTTTGGAATGTGCTGATTTGCTGACTTTGAATTTCTCAGCTCATGCACATATCCTAGAGTAATAAATTCCTCACAGCCCCCTCCTTCCACGGTACACACTCAAACAAAAGAGAAAATAAGCCCTCTCCCAGAATAAACATGTCCTGTGGCTGGATATGGCTTCCACTTTTCTCTAGCCCCTCATTACTGTGCCTAGTGAATCAGGGTGACATGGACCATCAAAGACAACCTAGTAGGATAATTGTTCAGCTGCTGAGCAGGCTTGTCTCTCTTCTTGCGTGTCTTTGTCCTGCCGGGGACACAGCCTTACTCAAAAGTGTGTTTTTTTTTTTTTTTTTTTTTTTTTTTTTTGTCCCTGCTGCAGCTGGTCCGGGACAATGCAGATCTGCGCTGTGAACTCCCCAAGCTGGAGAAGAGGCTGCGAGCTACTGCTGAGCGTGTCAAGGCCCTGGAGAGTGCACTGAAAGAGGCCAAGGAGAATGCCATGAGGGACCGCAAACGCTACCAGCAGGAGGTGGATCGCATCAAGGAGGCTGTGCGAGCCAAGAACATGGCCAGGAGGGCACATTCGGCTCAGATCGGTATGTGTGTTCCAAAGGTTGGGAGCTACCATGCCTCTTATTTAGGATTTTGTTCATCTGAAAGGATATGCTAGAGCTTGTGGGACTTGGAGTTCCTGGCACCTGGGTGTTCATCCTGGGAAAGCAAGACAGTCAGTCACTACTGTCCTCCTGAATAGCCCTGTGTGGAATGTGTTCTTCAGAACTGTACGCTAAGCCCCACAAGCCAGCTGTGCTGTAGCTTTTGGCTGTAACCAGAGGCACACTCCTGGAACTAGTGTAATATATGAATATTTCTCAGCAGGATCATGAAGGAGACCATCTGTTTGCCTTGGGGAAAGTTTCTTGCAAGCACTGGTTTAGAAATAACTGGAAAGAGCATGACTGGCAGTACTGAGCTGCATGTTGCTGGAAGCTGATTGGTGGCCTATGGAGTTGGGAATTTTGCAGGAATAAGAATGGTGGCTGTAGCTGCTGTTTCATAGTGGATGTCAGGCCAAAGCCAGGGGAATTATGGGATATACAGATGTTCTCTAGAGTTGTTTTTAATCGAAGCATCTCTAATAACATGTAACATTGTTTTCCATCAGATATTGTGAGATAGCACCTTTGTGTTTCCATTCTTAAAATCCTATAGATTAGTGATATATTGAATTTTTTGGATTTCTTGCCCTTTGAGAGTCTACTGAAAATTGTGGCCTCTTTTCCTAGAAAACTCATCACAGGTAGAATTCTTGTGAAACCTATGGGGAACTATGGATCTACTGCAGATAAAACCCCAAATCCTTTGCTTCTAATTTCCATTTATTTATTTTATTTTTCACACTTAAAAATAAGATGATTAAATAAATCAGTTTTTCTCCTTGTTCCCTGAATTCTGTGTGTGCCCTGAATTTACTAACTGTATTTCTCAAAGGCCAGCCCTCCTTTGACAGAAAGGTCTGGGGGTCTAGATAAACAGTGATAAGTGTTGATAAGCATCATGACTGGTTGTCACTTATGATGTTGGTCTCTCTCCTTTCTCTGGGATATAGCCAAGCCCATCCGCCCAGGACATTACCCGGCATCATCTCCAACAGCTGTCCATGCCGTCCGAGGAGGAGGTGGCTCTTCAAACCCTACTCACTACCAGAAGTAAATGCAGAGTGAGTCCCTGCAAGTCTGGGGTGTTTTCTCTTTGCAGCAGACATGGGCTTATTTGGAGGCAGAGCTCTTGCTACTCCAGAGCCCCACCCTAGCCTTCAGCCACATTCTCTAATAGAAATAAGTTCAGCTCTGTTCCAGGAGAGGTGTAGGATCCAGACAAGACATATCTGGGCCTAGCTGTGTCAACATAGAGAGCCTTGAGGGTCCTCTAGCCCCAGGTCCCTGAGGTTGATGCAGCCCTGAGCCAGGCCTGGCCTGATCACTCACCTCTCAGGATGATGAGTGCCTCATCTGAGCTTTCTTTGGTCTGTGGGGCTTCCCTCTGCAGCTGTATCTACAAAGCCAGATAGATGTAGCAGGTGGCTTTTGGTCTCAGGAATGGAATATAAAGAGCCAGGAACTGTCATGTTTTTGTACTTATTGTGAGCCTCAACAAACGGCGTTTTGAAGAATGTATGATTTATATTCAAGTGGGCCTACACCCACTTTCTTTGAGGTGTCTGTGAGCCCTAGTTCCTGAAACCCACACACTCAACATTGCTCTGACAGCAAAATAGGAAAAGTGATATATTTTTGAAAAGAGAGAAAGGGAAGAGCCAAGCCTATCCTTAGTAACTGAATAGGTTGGCCTGGCAGGTGGACAATAGAGGGCTAGAAAACTTGGACAGAAAAAGTCAGACTTTGAGTGTGTAGATGGGAGGAGATGATCAGGAATGCTGCTCCCGGGCTCTGAGCCCTCACTAGGGAGACTAGTTGACAAGGCAGGTGAACATGTTTCAAGTGATGTCTTGATGATCAAGAGCAATGGAGGAGACCCCCATTTATTCAGTCCTTTCTGAATCAGGGTATAAGTGAATGGGTGGGAGCAAAGCCCTCACACAGGGCACAGTGACGTCACTGCTAAGGTTCTGGGCCTGGTCAGGTGAGCAGGACCAGAGGTGTCAGGCCTAGGTAGTCTGCACTGGGACAACATACCTAGCAGTGTCACCACCATATCTTAAATGAGCTTGCTGGTGAGCCACCCATTCATGTCCAAACTGTGCTTTCAATCTGAAATAAAATTAAATTGGACTTTACTGAATTGTTCTTGATTGCATGCTGTCAGTAGTGAGGACAAAACCTGAAAAGTAGGCATTTGGGACAGTTTAACACAGAAAAGCCTCAAATTCTGGTGGGGCCTGGAGGTAGAGATGGGGGTGGGGGCAGAGAGTGTACTTAGCATGCATAAAACCTGGGTTCAGTACAACACAGCAGTAAGAAAAGTGCCAGCTTTGGTGGGTGGAGGCAGCACCGTGGACCACAGGCCAGGCTACTGGTGGGATACAGAGAGGCCCAGGCTACAGGACCTATCTGTTTTTACCAAGAGTAGCTAGTGGTTTTGATGTCCACGAGAATGTAATGCCTGCTTCCCTGTAGTAAGCATGGCTCATATACAATTGCAGTTTGTTTTTCATGGGAAGGAAGCATAAGGGCTGGGGTCAGTTGGTGAGGTCCACAGAGACCACAGAAACACAGACTGTAACCTAGACTTACAGGTCTCTGTGTGTGCCTCCTTTCCTCAAGGTCACCTCATGGTCCCCAGAATGACTTCTGCTAGACTTTGAGCTTCATGCCATCTTTCCATAAGGAAGCCAGGGCAAGACAAGGCCGCACTCCTGGCTGCAGCAGCCTCCCTTTAGTGACCTCCCTCAGAGGACTCATGGAAACTGAGGTCTGCATTCCCATGACTATCAGAAGCACATGGCCACATAGGAGGCTAGAAAAAGCAGCTCTTTAGTTGGGCACATCAGTGCCCCAAAGGGGAGTTAGGTTTTATATTGTTGTGATCATAATCTCAGCATTTGGGATATAGAAACAGGAAGATCAGAAGTTCAAGGTCATTCTCACATCAACTATATATTGAGTTCTAGACTAGCCTGACATGTAGAAAGTCCATCTCAAGAAAAAAAAAATCAGAATTGGTGAAAGTTTCAAAGTCTTCAGAGAAACAACCATAGCAATTCATTCCTTTCTTTACTTAGTGAGTTGCAAGTGATTTAGGATGACTTGAGCTGAAATTGAAGCCTTTATAGCATACTTTATCCATCCAGTTCCCATAGCTGGGAACTTCCTATGTTTACCTAGTAAATTTCAGGGACTTCCTGAGATTTGTGAATTGTTTGTATCCTAAATGTTAATGAGCTTCCTTCCACAATGGAATGTTTCAATTCAGAGGAAATTGTTGTACAACATTCCATGCCTTCCTCTGTCTCTTAACATTCTTTCTATACTCTCTTCTGTGATGTTCCCTGAACTCCAGAGGGGGTGACATAGATATCTATCTAATCATTAAACTACTATATCACAGCAACAGTACAGTGTTCTCAAGAACTTCACCAAGGTCATGTGTTTCTGTGGTATGCCATCATTTGCAGAAGGATGTTTTCCTCCATGACCAACTTCCAACAGCAACAGTGACCCCCATGCATATACACAAATATTTAGAAGGCAGTTTGACAGGAACATTACATCTACTTAATAAAACCATGGCAGCTGCTTTTCCACTGGGGCCTGTGAACATCCTTATCTTACAGAATATCCTCCTACAGAGTGGGCTTTAAATCTAACTGGAAAGCAGTTGGTTATACCCCAAAGCATCTTTGCCACTATTGTACCTGTGGTTATATCCTACTTGGCATTTTGATAGTGTAGCATGTAGGGTCCAGTGTAGAATTGTTGGTTACAGTTGTCCCCTAGCAGCCTGCACAGCACCTCTCAGAAGGGAGGAAACTTCCAGTTCGGTCCCAGCCTGACTTCTCTATGTTTTGTAAGCAATGCATACATCATCTTTGCCAGTAAGGTCTCACCATTTAATTCTGGCATGGAACCAATAGCAGTGACAGTGGCAATGGCAATGGCAATGGCTTTTTTTTCCCCAGGGGTGGGGAGTAGAACTCCTCTCTAGCCAATAACTCCTAGAGAGTTAGGCCACTGCTGGCTCTGAGATTTTTTCTGTCTTTTTTTTTTTTTTT